CCGGGCCAGACAGTTTGAATGCAGACGTCCATTCCACTCTGGCGGCGCGCTTGCTTCGGCAAGCAAAGTACCGCGAGGTCCGGAGCTGCTTGGGCGGCGCCTCCCCCCTCGCAACGCGGTGACCTCCTCGACTGCTGGCGAGGCTCCCGGCTGGCAACCTGATGTGGGATGCGCGACCGCCCCAGACCCCCACGATTAGGCCGGGCATGTCACCCTACAGGCGGATTTGGGAAACTCGTCCCCTGACTAATTTCGGGCAATTTCTGAAGATTCCTCCTGCAGAGCGCCGTGCCCGGCTGAACCCCACGAAGCACGAAGCACGCCCGCACACACGGGCACCGTGGAGGGTGCTGCACGGGCGTGGCGCCCGAGCGCCGGAGAGCGAGAGAGAACGGGGCCCGATCAGGAGTCCTGCTCGGTCGTGTTCCCAACGCTCTGCCGTTCCGCGGCGACGCACCTCGCCATGGGAGTGCCCTCCCCTCTAGACAAGCGGGTTCCACTACTCGCAAACCAACTACTCGCAAATGGCCTGGATCCGCCGCAAGGGATTTACGATATCTTACACACAGGCAGACGTATGGTTTTTAGGACGTTTGCGAGTAGGCACTTTGCGAGCAGTGGAACGCGTTCGGCGACCCTCCCCCCCCTCCCTCCCTCGCGGCCGCCTTCGCCTGTCTCTCCCTCCCCCTGTCGCCGGGCTCGTTCGCGCTTTCCGTGGCCCGGGCCGCCGGGGCGCGCGTGCGGGCTGCCTCCGCCGCGCTGCGACGCAAAGCAAATCCCAGGCTCCTCGGTTCCCAGACCCCCTGGTGCTCACAACGCGTGGCCAACTCCTCGGCGGAGGGCCTATGGGGGCCGGGCTGGCGGGCGGGCAAGGCCCTGCTCGGCGGGGAGGGGGGGGCCGCGCCGCTCCTGCTGCTGCCCGATGAGACCCATGCGCGCCTCGTAGGACTTCTGCAGGGCGTCCTGGAGCGCCTCCGCGGGTCGGGTCGGGGGGGGGGGGACTTTCGCCGACGGGGGGGGGTAAGCAAACTCTTCCCTACCATTCGAGCGACGAGGGGGGAGGGGTCTTACGCGAGACGGCATGGCGACCTTACGGAGTAGCTTACGCGGGCCGCACCACATCGAGAGCGAAGGCACTTACGCGCGACCTTACAAGGGCATCTTACGCGCCAATGTCGGCGCAGACGACCCCGTCGTTCTGCGTCGCTCATTTTGGCGTCATCTTCGCCCCCTGGAGGGTCGAGCCCCACTGCAGCAGCCAGCAGCCAGTGATCGACGAGAGTTTCAAAGCGGCGGTACGAATCCGGCGATCGGCCTTCTGTGGGCTACGTCGCGCTCGGGCCCGGGAGCCGAATCGACAAAATCGTAACGGATGCGAACCATAGACGGTTGTTCTTAACCCTCGTGCCAGCTGCACATGGTAAAACAGACCACCAGGACCAAAAATATGATTGTCGCGTGCAACTAAGAGCCCGTGAACGTGGCCTTCAGAACGCCAGCCGCCGAGTACAGCCGGGCTGCTGAAACAAAGAGCGAAGCCCCTGAAATAGGGAACGAAGCGCCTGCGGGCACGAGGAAGGCTAGACGAACAGCCACGGCAGGACCTAGCGAACATCGAGCCCCTTCCAGACCGGAGCTGCTCCTCATTTCACAAGGGCTCCCAACTTCGCGCTTGGCGCTGCGCGAAGTGCGAAGTGCGAATAACTTCGCGCTCTCGCGCCGCATCCCAGGGGAGAAAAGGATGACGAGGAGGAATCGGAGCCGAACCGCGAAGCGCGAAGAGCAAATAACTTCGCGCCCTCGAGGGCGCCAAGGTTTCAGCGTCCTGACTGTACAGGATCACGCCCAACGGGATGAGGAAGGAGGCACGGGGGGGGGGCTTCGGAGGGCCGCGGGGCGGCGGGGGAGCCAGGAAGGCGGATGAAGCAGCAGGGGCCGCGACTCCTCCTCCTCCTCCTCCTCCTCCTCCTCCTCCTCCTCCTGCTCCTGCTCCTGCTCCTGCTCCTCCTCCTCCTCCTCCTCCTCCTCCTCCTCCTCCTCCTCCTCATCCTCATCCTCATCCTCATCATCATCCTCATCATCATCATCATCATCATCATCATCAGCAGCATCATCATCAGCATCATCATCAGCAGCAGCATCAGCATCAGCATCATCAGCATCATCAGCATCATCATCCTCATCAACCTCATCAGCATCATCATCATCATCATCATCATCATCATCATCATCATCATCAGCAGCAGCAGCAGCAGCAGCAGCATCGTCATCATAAGCATCACCATAATGATCAGCAGCATCATCATCACCACCACCACAATCATAATCGTCATCAGCATCATCATTATCATCATCATCATCATCATCATCAGGATCATCGCCATCATCAGCAGCAGCATCATCATCATCGTCCTGCTCCCCCCTCGCCATCACGATATGCATCCTCATCTTCCTCCTCCTCACCATAAACGGCAGCATCAGCATCGTCATCATCGTCAACATCACCACCACCACCACCACCACCACCGCCATCATCATTATGAGCAGCAGCAGCATCATCATCATCTGCATCATCAGTATCGTCGTAATCATCATCATCATCATCATCATCATCATCAGCATCATCATCATCATCATCATCATCATCATCATCATCACCACCAGTATCATCATTATCATCATCATCACTATCCTCATCTCAATCCTCATCCTTCCCAACCTCAATATCCACCTTCACCTCCTCCTCCTCCTCCTCCTCCTCCTCCTCCTCCTCCCTCTCCTCATCCTCCTCCTCCACCTCACCCTCCACCTCCACCTCCACCTCCTCCTCCTCCTCCTCCTCCTCCCCCCTCCTCCCCTCTCCTCCTCCTCCTCCTCCTCCTTCCTCCTCCTCCGCCTCCTCCTCCTCCTCCCTCCTCCTCCTCCTCCTCCTCCTCCTCCTCCTCCCCATCCTCATCTCCCTCCTCGTCCTCCTCGTCTCCTCCTCCTCTGTCTCCTCTTTCTACCTTCTCCCTCCTCCTCCCTCCTCCCCCTCCCTCCTCCCTCCTCCCTCCTCCCTCCCCCTCCTCCTCTTCGTCCTCCTCCTTGTCCTCCTCCTTCTCCTGCGACTACAAGTAGGGGCGGCAAGGGAGTCGAGGGAGGAACGAGGGAGCGTTATACCGCTTGAAGGGGCGACCCCGCTCCCCACGCAGCTGCAGCCCTCCCGGGCTGACCTCCGCGCCTGCGGGCGCAGATCGAGGCACCCCGAGAGGCGACCAAACGGTGGGGTCGCCTTGGCCTCGAGGCCAAGGCACGATCGACCTGCCACGACCTGCCTCTTCGGGCCCCCAAGAGGCCCCAAGAGGCCCCAAGAGGCCCCCAAGAGCGAGAAGCTCCAGGACAGAGCACTTCCAGCACTCTATCAAAACAGAGGTCTCAAGTGGTTATGATTGCGCTCTGCCCAGTGCCTACGACACGGCTGCGGGTCTTGCCTCCAGCCAACCTGCGGCGAGCATACCTTAAACCATAAACCCCAAAGCCTAAACCCGAAACCCTTCCCTGGCGCAGCCCGAGGCCTGCCGGAAGGGCGAGCCAGGCGTTTCGCCTGATATGTCCATACCCTTCTATGAACCTCAAATATAAAATAATAACCGTGTCACAAACGGAGGGCGGGCCGCTTCCAGAACGGAGCTCTCGCCCTCGCGACGCGCACATTAGTTCCAAAAAGTTGCAAGAGTTTCACGGTTTGAAGACACGTGGTATTCAAAATGTAACTCTCACCTAAGCGAGGCTTCACGGATTGAGGACACGTGGATGTCAAAGTGTGGTTTCGCTTTAGCGCCGCCAACCTTCGCTTGTAAAATGTGCAAGAGCTTCACGGATGGAGGGCGGCCCGTCTTCAAAATGCGGTTCTCGCCTTAGCGCCGCGCATATTCGTCTTAAACAATTAAGCAGTTGCAATAATGTGTTGGTTCTCATGGTTAAGGTACCAAGAACGGCGTTCTGGAGCGATTCCCGATCGCCAGGTCGCAACAGTTACGTTGACTCGCGGTCTTGAAGTCCCAGGAATGGTGCCTTGGCATGATGCGGGATCGTCAAGACGCATCAGGCCGGCGCCAAAAAGTGGATACCGCCACACGCCGAAGGCTACGTTAGAAGGCATCGGGATGGCGAAAGACGGCACGAACGAGAAAACGGTTGCGTTTGAAAGCCGTGTTCTTCCTCACCAAGCGTGCGGGATGCATCCCGCCAGCGCTGAAGAGAATGCGCCGAGACAGCGAACGTCGAGCACGAACCGACTGATGGCCGAAGGAAGTCCGAAAGAGAAACGAGACGGCGCAGGATACGAATTAGCCCAAAAACGTATCAACCCCTGGCCTGCCAAACTGTTGTGCGACAGACCCGTATTGAGCAGCCTCGACGGCCAAGCAAGACATTCACCACGGCAGGAGCAAGAGGAAGAGGGGGAAAGGGAGGAGGAGGAGGAGGAGGAGGAGGAGGAGGAGGAGGAGAGGGAGTACTACGCAGAACCTCGAGGGTCCCAGCCCACCGACCCCCACGAGCCCAGGCGCCCAAAAGACCCAAGGCGCGCTTCCAGAACGCCGCGCGAATGGGCGACACATTTCAACAACTATATATATATATATACACACATACATATATATATATATATATATACATATGTATATATATATATATTTATTTAAGTGAACACGGTAAGCGTATAACTAGGCAGAGGCAATGGGCCAAGCCCGCAAACCAAGACGGAGAGAGCAGCGGGGAACGAGCAGAAGACGAGACCAGGCTCCTAACCACCGTCGCGCGGCCGCGCGCGGACGCGCGAAAGAAGGCTGAACGCCTGGCGATGGTCGCGGGCAGCCTCCCACACATATGTAGGGAAGGCCTCGCGGTACTCAGCTGATGGCAGGGCGCCATGCCGTGCGGAACCACCGCAACGATAAAGCGCGTACACAAAGGCCGCCGCGTGCATTTCCTGATTCTGTCTTCCCCTGATGCTGTCTTCCCCCTGCGGGCAGCCTGCTGGAAACGGCGGCGCGTCACCCAACCATTGCAAATTGTTTGGAGGGTTGCCGCCAAACTCGCGAAGTACGCGCTCAGCCAAGATCGTGAACGTCCTCAGGGCCCGCGACATCCGGAGTCCAGGCAGCACGTCCAATTCCCTATGGTCCACACATCGGCGGAGTGGAAAGCTGCCCCGTCCAGCACGGCCGGGTTCATGGCCGCCGCCCGGGCTTACCAATCAATGCGGCTGGGCCCCTTGTCCCGCGTCGCAACACGGACAGCGAAAGCGCGGGGACCTCAGACTCGCAGCCCTCACGGTGGCCTCCGCCTGCTCCAGCTGCAGAAACAACGCACCGTCCAGCCAAGTACTGCAAGCTGCTACGCGCTGCGAGGCGAAGTCCAGATCGCCTGTCGTAGTCGGGCGGCCCACTCAGGAACTCGCAGACAGCCATCCCGATCCTCGAAGTAGAAGGCGCGAACTTTGGCAGCTGAACATCTCGCCCGAAGGTCCGGGACCTCCACGGGGAAGCCGAGGTCGCGCAATCTGTGAAGACACCGCGGAGGCATCCAATCCCGGGGGCCTGGCAGCAGCGCCGCGCATGCCCGGAACTCGCCGCGCATGCCCGGAACTCGCGGGGCTCGAAGGCGGCGGGAAGGGCATCCAACTCATCTACGAACATGGGGACTCTCGCATCGAATACGTTATGTGCCCGAAGGGTCGCACAGAGCCCAGACCCCACCTGCCCCCAAAGTTGGGTGCTTTCCAACACATGTCCACAAGGGAGCCTTCCCTGAAGCGTCCGCACGGCATTGGCCAAGGATGAACCCCAAGTACTTCGCAAACAGCTGATTGTGACTCCTGTCCAGGCTGGAGCAGCCCGCGACAAGAGCGAGCGCAACAAAACTACGTCACGCTGGACCAGTGGCACGACCACCGTCTTAGCGATGGATGCTTAGGGGAAGGCCCGAGATGCGAGCACAGGTCATGAAAAGCTCCTCCAAGACTGGAGCCACCTAGAAGAATCCAGAAAGAACCATTGCAAGATCATCAGCAAATGCACGTACGCACGCCTTGGGAAAACCCCCGTGGATCCGGCGCCACAGAAGGTCAAATGCGACGGCGAACAACCGTGGAGATAACGGGCACCCCTGCCTGATACCACGCGCAAGTTCGAAGCCGCCGTGCCGCGAGCCGCACGCCACCTGAGAATACCGATTCGCCCGGTAAAGCACACGAATGAAGCGCAGAAGCCACAAGGGCCAGCCCATTGCAGCGAAAAGACTGTGCGAGAAGATGTGTTCCACGGACGGAAACGCTGCGGCAAAGTCGAAAAACATGGCGGCCGCCTCCTCCTCCTCCTCCTCCTCCTCCTCCTCCTCCTCCTCCTCCTCCTCCTCCTCCTCCTCCTCCTCCTCCTCCTCCCCCTCCTCATCCTCCTCTAGCGCTGCGGTGGCCATATCTTCGTCTAGATCTACGATGTTCGCTAACATGGAGCGGCCTGATATGAAGCCGCGCTGCGACTCGGAAACACGGGGGCCGACCCAGGGTTCGATAAGAATCCTCACTGCACTAGCCAACAACCTGTTGTCTGTGTTTGTGACGCTTATGGGGCCAGACAGAGTCGGGGGCATAAGATTCGACACCATCGTCCTGAATTCCTGTTGGCCGCTTGGGCAAAAAGAACGGAAGTCTCAAATTGAAGTCTCCGAGTTGTGACAACATCGCACATGGCCCTCCCTCCGCCGTCGTAGCCTGGAAAGCGTCGAAAAGAACAGAAATAGCGAAATCCTCAATGCGACGCCACGCCACGAACGGTATCCCATCAGGTCATGGGCAAGAGGAATTAGACATGCGGAGCGCTTGCCGGATGTGGCTCTGGCGGAGCTGGAAGAGCTCGGCGGGGAAAGGCATGGTGTCGGCCAAGGGCTTCGGATCCATCTCCTCCTCGAGCCACTGTTGGAGGAGAGCTTCGTAGGCGCCCCGCTCACGAAACACCTCGCGCCAATGTCCGCGAAGTGCGTCCGACATGCCGTCGACGTCCGAACAAACTACTCCCGCGGCGTTCAAACCAGCGGCAACTGTTCGCGGGCAGCCTGGAACCGGTCGGAACAAGAGTCGAGTTCCCCCCTGGCGGCGCTGTTGGGCGACTACTGGATCGTCACCCTGGTCTTCGCGCGCCCGTCCGAGTTCGTCCAAAGCGTGGTCCCGTGCAAGCTGGATCGTATGATCGCGGGCTCTGTTGATCTTGGCCGAAAGGTTGCCGGTGAGATCACCGGGACTAGTCACCAGAGCAGCCAAGGTTAGGTCGGGCGTGTCCCCCTACAGGAGGATGTTGGACGAAAAATTAAAGATAATAAAATACACAAAAATGGTCAAAAAAAAATCCAAAAATCGTCCCCATACTATGTTTTAACTCTTTTTGAATATTCCTCCTGTAGCGGGACAGGCCCGCCTTAGGATTAGTCACCAGAGCAGCCAAGGCAGGGTAGCGAAGGAAGCACGCAGACGCCTCTCCATGAAGACCCCGCTCCGAGGCCGTCCGTAACTTCATCGTAACGCCTTGGGCGGTCCTCGAGCGCCTCCGCGAGTTCAGGCCCTGCCAAATCGTTGCCCAGGGAACGTGAGACCGAGATCATGGCATCCTTCAGGAGCTGAAGCTTACCGAGGGCGGAGACACCGGGGGCCTCCTTCAACATATCACCACAACTCAGAACAGCCCGTCAAGGCCAATCCGCATGCCGAACGGCACGCTCCAAGAGGGGGCGCTCCTCTAGCGCAGGGCGGTACGGCGCCTGGCGCGTGAAGAGGACAGCGCGTTGGTCCGAGCGATCCTGACGCCGTTCGAGTGCTGCGGCCCGTGTGTGCCTGTCCAGCTGCTCGGAGACATGCTCGTTGCAGTAGATGCGGTCGAGACGGGATCGAGCTTTGGCCTCGGGGATCTGCTAACCCGGGTCAATCAGACCCAGGTCAGCAGGAAACCAAAAAACTGCAATGCAGGAGAAACAAAAAAAATGCAACGCAGGCCTTCGCAAACCCGGGTCGGCCAATATGCGCGGCCGCCTCGCGGCCACGAGCGGCTCGCTAACCCGGGTCAACCAGAGGGAGTCTTCGTAGGATCCTGCAGCGATCTGGTGCCCTGTCTGACCCCCGTTTGCATTGACCCCCGTCTCTTGAGCTCCAATGGAATTCCGGCTGGTACAGCTCGTGGAGGTGGTGCAGGCGGCCGAGCTGACTGGATGCTCTTCACCGGCGGTCCTATGCCCAGTCACCTCAACCCTGCCTGCGGACCTGCGGTCGTCCGCCCGAGTGACGTAATTGAAACCACCTCCGAGCATTAGGTCGGGCATGTCCCCCGACAGGCGGATTTTAGCCGAAAAGTTGAAAATAGACCAAAAAATACTCCACAATGATTAGAAACAGCCAGAAAATCGTCCCCTCACTCTTTTTTTTAAACTATTGTTCAATATTCCTCCTGTAGAAGGACAGGCCCGACTTAATCCCAGCAGTGTCAGTGCGAAGCTGCGCGGCGCCACGGCCCGCCCAAGGCGCCAACCAAGATGTTTGCCTAGCGCCAGGAAGGTGGTGCACGAGGCCACGGCCTGCGGGTAGACCCCGTGCAAGCCAGCGTCCGAGACCTCCGCGCCTGTCGGGAGATACGACACCATCAAATCCAGAGCGCCTGCTGGACCCCGAAGCCCGAGTGCAGCGGCGCGGCCGGGCCAGATAACATCCCAGACTGGAGAGGGATCGAACTGCTCGAGTCAAGACTGCTTGACAATGGTGCCCACCCCGGTGTGGCCTGCAGAGTAGCCG